GCTTTGTGTACTCCAATAAGGAAAGTATAATTACAATCTTTGGTTAATGACCAGATCTGTAAATCAACGGAAATACTTATTTCTGCGTTATTACGTTGTTCCTCTACTTGCTGATAAAATTACCAAGTGAAACGAGGAACGTCATAAGCAATCCGTATGATTATTAATAGGAAGTACGCTGTCGCATACACAGCACCGAAGATTAGTGGGAAGGGGACGGTTGGATGCCTTAGTTAATAGTCGCCAAAAATCCCGGCACACCGATGATACTGAGGCTAAAATTAGCATTTTCCCTTACGTTTGCTCTATTTAAAGCAAGGTAGCCTAGGTAGCCGGTAATGTTTGCGAAAATTTTCGTCTAGCTTGAGTTTGGAATTGCTATCGTATGACGCTCATCGATCTCATCCCCCATTGTATTTGTTACAAGGTCAATAAAAATTATGTCTAATTCACAAGAGTATGGATTGCGTTTGACGTCCCATTATCACAGGACGATTGCGTCCACAAGGGGTAGCGAAAGGGATCATTCACTGCTTAGCAGTGTACCATCGTGGACCATTGCGAACAGTCGCGGCAAAAATGTGCACCGTATATGCGCCATGACTAGCGACGCATTGATCGAATTCGCTGCATAACCTCTGAATATAAATAAGCTGGCGCGTTTGCTCGATGGGTAGAAGGGGTCTTGGTGCATTAATTACTCTGCATGGCTGATACAGTATAATGTGAGTTCATAAATACTTGAAGAAATTGGTCGCTGTTGTCACCACTGTCGGTGTTGGAGGAGCAGATGATTGGTTAGCTTGATTGTGGCAGTGTGAAGAAAAAAGGTGTTGCATAGGGTGTTTGTTAACTCGGTGTAAGGTACGCAGGTAGCGTTAACGTCGGTGAATATTGGATACATATTATTTGCTCAGCAATCCAGAGGTACTATAAGACGATTAGAGGACACCACTCACAAGATACCGTGTCAGGGGATAAGAGATCGTCAGTCGTTCGCCGCGTTTGCCTATCGGTGCATGGTTGCGGCGAAAGTGGGAAAAATATGGTCTTACGTGTACTGAAGTGGTTCACGCGCCTTTGGAAGGTCGGTGGGCGACCACCATTTCAAAGGACTAGGTGCGGCGTGCAGGGCATTAGTAGAAGGAACACGTATGCACCATTTATACAGTAACACGCATACAAGGAATTCGCAATTGTGAAGCAAGTATGACAAACCAATAGACGCTATGCCGACGTTCCGCAGCGTTGAGCAATTTGTTTGTTCACTGACTTATTCATCTGTCTAGGTTACCGCGGAAGCTACGACAGTTTGTGCGCACCTGAGAGAGTTTGGTGTTCATTAGAAATGCGAGCTTTCACTGTGCATGCACGCAATCCTCCATGTTGCTTGTGAACTGGATAAAGCGCGGTAAAATCATGAGAGCTATGTGGGCTCTGATAAACCTGTTGCTTTTCTATCATATGTTAGCGAAAATATTGTTCCTATAGCTGCATGTAGCTTGTTGGTCGACTTACAAGGCAAATGCTGCATAAACATGCATTTGTATCCTCCTGGAAATAATCCGCTACTATCTACGTGTCGCAGGTATGTCATATTGGCTTCAATAATTGCCATCTCAGTGGTGATGCGAATATTCCGCAGTCATTTATGAGATATGAAAACTTGGATGTAATGCAACTATGGGCCTTACTCTCTGTGTTATTTTACGTGATGTTTTAGTGCATGACGTTTTTGAGCACCTACCGACAACATATCCCTAAGTGTAAATGTATGTAGTATTCTTAGGTTATCACTTTAACAGCACGGCAAAGCCCCTGAGTAATTTGCACGTATTCGGGATGAACATGCACATTGTAGCACTCAGACAATCCCAGCATTCAGACAGTCACAGTTTGCAGGGTTATTCCGCTAACGATCCAGTCATGTGCCGCAGCTCAGACCCGCTAGGCACCTGTCCTGACTTCCAGATAACACTTTCACGTACTCGCTACGGATGCGCGATGACATTGGTTGTCTGGTTCTCAAGCCCCAAGCACAGCAACACCTCGCCTACGCCACGTCACGTGTGGTGGTGGACACGTTGTAAACCATGCTGGTCTACTGGGGGAAGACAATCAAGTCTGGTTTACACAGTTGCAGCCTTCAAGCTTTGGACGGTTCCGTTTGTCATTCTCCTCCGTGGCTGCCTGCTTATGTTGTCCTCTGAGTGCAGTGAAAACCGATTTCGTCCACAAATGTTGTCACCCACAGTTATGCTACTGTGAGATCCGGGCTATGTTAGGAATCATAATGTACTAGGCGGAGGATGAATGTAATAGTTATGAACCGGGCACAACCATTTTACCCTTCCACGAAACGGGCAGTCGTAAGGCCATGACGGTGGTTCTGCTACAATTTCGGAGACTGCGCCCACAAACTCCGCCGTATTGCATATTGCTACGTACATCCATGAACATGTTCAAATAATTATATTTTGACACCATTAGGAGTAGGTTCACAAAACGAGATGCGTGATATTATGTTACTAGATAGATTAATGCCGGTTGCCTTACTTAGTTTAACTCTCATGGCATGTTGATTTTCCTCATTTAACACTGCATCAATTAAGTTTCGCCTATCTAAGGTGCTTTTTTTGGACATTCAGTAGCGCTGCTCGCCATGCATTTTTATCTGCCGAATCGTTCCGATATCACGCTTCTTCCACTTTGCACACTTTCGACACTACGAAAGCCATCCCATTTGGCATTCAGCGATTACATCTGCTGTTGCTTTTGTCGTCGGTCCATTGAAAGCGGTGAGAGTGATTTCCACCTTCGACTATGACTGTTAGTATTTCGACCGTGGTAGGCTGAACTACACAACGAACAACTGACATGGTCAAATGAGCAAGAATGAATAGCATTTCTATAGGACACTCTGAATTCAGCTATTTCGCGTAATTTTGTCAGTCGTTTACCTATGTTTCGCGGATTGAATAGACTGCATCCATCAGTAAGTAATGTACACCAGGTGCGTTCATATAGCCCCTGGAAGAATTTTCACATTGTTCTTCATACACACTGATTTGCTAGCTGAATCAAAAGTGATATGAACCTCAGTTCGCCGGACACTTGTAGTCCACTAGATCCAATCTCACATTTTAATTCCTTCATACATTTATCGCTGATTTGTTCGGTGCTTACCAGTGGTGCCATCCTGGAATTTTTAAACCAGCGTTAGTAACACCGGTGTCTATCAATGTATCTCGAAAACGCCGATTGGCTGCGTGCACTTCACGCTGTGTTAACCTTCTCTACGCTTTGCAATTCCAAACATTTCTCAAATTCGCCGGGTCTGACCGCATCCACACGACAGAATATCCATCTGAAGCTAATGGCCTAGACTATGCTATTGTCGAGATTTCAATTTGTCTCATTTTACCAATTCTGACACTGGCAGGAGCAAACATATATATCACTCGTATGCTTAAGCATTTTGCGCGACAGCAAAGCGGACCTGTAGTGAGAACCTGCAGGGATGGTACAGGTATAACAAGTTAGCTGCTGCAGCTCTCGCCAACTAACGGATGCGGTGTGCCGGCCAATTTTCCAGTTTGACACATTTTACTGACATCTGCTATTTTTATATACTGCTTTTTCCGTAATCCTGTATTTTACGGACAAACGTGATACAAGTCGACAAAAACATAAACAACGTAGCATTTTCAGCTTCGTATATTCGTACCGATTTTAACACGGTGTAGATGGACCTATCGCGAATCGCCTCAGCTATATCCGGGCAGATTCCAGATTCGGTTGATAAACCCTGGCGACTTTCAGCACAACTTCTAAAAGTTTCAGAACTCATCAACCTAGCACCAAGCGATCACCAATCCTCCCTCCACAGTTAATAGCAGTAGGATTCTGGTCTCGATCTCTCTGCATAGTTCTTCTAGCGAACGCCCCGGGATTCCCCTGTGCACGAGAACCGTTCTGACCGTAGTCTGGAGGGCGAGTCATATTTCGAGGCATACTGTAGTGAGAGCAGCAGAGGAAATTTTCCGTCGTACGCTGAGTGAATGGCGAGAATTTGCGATCCAACCAACTCGTGTAAACGACCCAACCATGATGCCCATTGGATCAGATCAACATACCACAACTGATATATGAGCAACGAGTTCGGAACCAGCGAGCTCTCTAAGTCACCTATTCATGGCGCGTGCGACCACTCCAGTTGCTATATGTAAGTCGCATGCTAACTGTTGTCTCCACCTGGGATGTTATTCTCGAATACTTCAATAACGCCTATGATAGAGGCAGACTACACTATGGAATGTGAAACATTTCCGCTTTCAGTAATTTCGACAAACAAGTGCAACTTTCCTTTCAACTCCCGATCGTCCATCTGATTACTCCATCAATATTCTGTTCATTAATGGGAAGAGGGGAATCACACTGCTACGCTACTCACCCACCCTGCTTATGTGCTTTCTAATGACAGCAGATTAGATAAGCAAATGCTAGTTCCCTGCCCTATGAGAATTCTCCTTACTTTTCATTTGTACACCCATTGAAGTACATTGAATACCAATAGTACTTGATTGACACCCGGCAAAATACCCGAAGCAAAACAACAAACAATGATTTGCGATGTTTAGATCAGACACACGCTCACTGTTAACGTCGTGCGCAATTATCAGAGATGCGGAATTTGATGTGAAAGCCCCCATATGACAGCAAGCATAAAGTGCCAATATATATATATATATATATATATATATATATATATATATAAAGCATGGGATGGAATTTAGACATTCAGCGTGGCAAACTCAGTATTGCAGCAATGTTGCAAACCATGGAACGCTTTCTTACCAATAACAACTATGCAAAAAGCGAGCACCCATTTGGTTGCAAAGGAAGTGGGAGGAACCGATAAGTACCGATTTATTTGTTAACATATTGCAAGTTCCTTTTCCAACAAGCGAAAAATATTTAAACGTATAACGCAAAACATATTAGAAATGATTGCCTCCTTCTTTGTCTCCACAAGGATAGCTGTCATCCGTGAATAGCGATGGTGATATGTAAGTATTTTTTGATCGAATTTCCCCCGGGAACTGCAAGCATGCTATCACGTTGCAATCCTGATCGTAAATCTTGTAGCTTTCTTCGCCTTTAAGCTAAAATTTGAAATGAGTATTTCACTTTCTTTTGTACTTAAAATACTTTGAATTTAATAACCTTAGTCAAAACAATACTGTGACTCATCACCGTTCAATAATCATCCAAAAGCAACTCACAGCAAACCTAACAACTTACCGAAACATCAGGTGCGAATAACGTATTTTTATACGTGTATACAGCACCTGCTTCTAGCGGACATCCCTCATCTATATAGTTGCAGATGTTATCCGTCCCGGGCAATTGTCGTAAACAATTCTTCGACTGTGAATCGCTTATGCAAGCTTGCAGCTTCCCGGAAAGAACCCTTCTTCCTATATGAACACAAATAATAAATGTAAGCGCCATATACGTTGATATCTGAGAAGTGAAAACAGAGTTCGTGACCCCAAAATAAAAGAAACACTACAGATCAAGCACCTAACACTGCGCAGATAAGATGTTTTTAGATCAAGGCATGATTTCGCTTTAGTTAAGTGTTATGACAATGAATTAAAGTACAGAGAAGAAGCTGCCAAAGAAAATCACTTAGGCTTGTGTTTCATGGTGTGCAAATTGCGTATTCCTTAACAATGGAATCCCACATCATTACCAGACTAGACAAAGAGCACAAAGTTAAATGATTTCAAAGCGAAGCTGTATCATATAATATTCCCTTACTTGTTCTGAAGGTGATTTCTTTTCTTGCAAAATTACCTCCTTCACAGACACAAGGTGCCTGGGTGCAATTTGACACGAATGCGCCGACAAGCGTTTTGTCATCAGCTGGAAGCAGTGAAAGCAAAGGAGGACAGATAAACAGTCATCAATTAGTTGTTGGTGTGGGCTGATCTGCATCCTACAATTTGTGAGACAAAACTACTGATATCTTTAAACCCATAGCTTTACACTGTCAAATCGTTAAACCTCATTATTTGCCCGTGATAAATAAACATGAAGAGGCGTGCTACAATGGTGCACTCACAGCAGTCACTGTAAAATGTATCCGCCTGCAGAACAGCAAATTCAACAATGAGTAGAACAAAAATCACTCTGCAAATCTTGGCGTCCATTTTCCTTGAGATACATTCTACGCATGTGACAGACGTTATTATTTATACTTATTCTCATCTCATTGTATAGCTGAAGGACTGTCGCAAAATTGGAACAACGGGCGTGAGCGGCGTATTCAAGTTGTCCGCTAAATGGCTCACCATGAAACATATGTCGATCATGTGTATTGTGTAGCATGAAACCAGTGCCGTTGAATTTAAAAACAAAAATGTGGGATATTCTTTCAACGTAAAATTCGATTATTTGATCAACACCACCATTCCACCTACATTTATCGGAAGAGGTCTATTTTATTTACGTAAACGCCAAAATAATATGTAAATGCCGCTTTGAGGAGGTGTTTTCGTATTGTCTTGCTCACTTTATTTTCAAATTGCCCTAACCATTAAACCTTTGGTAAATGAAATGCAGATTTGGCATCAGACCCTAATGCTGACTTGCTACATAGCATGAATATATCAATATGCATCTTAATGCAAGCGCCGTTTTCTTTCTGGTCCGCTAGCAATAATCAAGTTCATTTTAATCGACAATAACTTAATAACTTAATGTTCCTTTTGCAGCTTTCGTTGTGTCGAATTGGAACAGAAACAGTTTTAATGTGCTGAAATAAAAGAGGTTAAGCAGTGGTCAGTTAAGTACTGCAGAATACTGTTTAGTAGCCTTTGGTACACACGGTTGATGAACAATGAACAATGAATTTATACGGGTTAAGAAGCGTTGCTTTACAAGCCCCGTTGGATAGTTGGTGGGGATATCAACATAATAATTATGATGAAAAGGATAGTAAAATAGTTAACACTTTTAGTACGAAAATAAGGACTTATCGTTTGCTTCGCTGCAGTCCTGCGATCCTCTTAGATTCACAACACCCACAGTTAACAACAAATAATTCCAGGGTAAACTCCAGGTGTAGGATGGAGACATAGTGTTAAGTAACAAAGTGTAAGTGGATGAGTGCATCGTCCAACCGTCTTTTAAATACTGCTAGTGTCGGTGCAGAGACGACCGATTCTGGGAGAGCATTCCACGGGTGACAGACACGGATGGAAAAAATTTCTGCGGCACCCCAGACGGCTGTATTGTTCTGCGAGTTTTAATGAGTGGCCCCTCAGGTTTGTATTGCTGCTGAGTTGCAGTAAAGGGCGGCACACATGATGTGGGTCTCGCAGAATCAAGTATGTCATAATCAGGTCGCCTCGTAGCCTGCGATAGCTTCCACTGAACAATCCTAGTCGTCGCAGCCTCTCCTGGTAGGACAGATTGCGCATTCCAGTTACGTTCTTAGATGCCCGGCGTTGAGGCTGCTCCAGTGCATTAAGGTCGTGTTTCAGCCATGGATGCCAGGCTTGAATTGCGTATTCGACATGGGGGCGAACATACGCACTGAGCATTTGTCGAAATATGGAGCTGTTTATTTGTCCAAACTCCCGCCTCAACAGCCCAAAGTGTTGGTTCCCGGTCTTCAAGGCCTTTTCGGATTGCCTGGAGCAACCCAAGTCATCTTGAACCAAGACACCCAAATAACGTTCGAGAGTTGATTGCTGCATTACATCCGTTCCGAGTCGGTATGAGTAGCTGCCGTGATGTCGGATGGAAAGCACCTTGCATTTACTGACGTTGAAATGCAATAAGTTTTGGATCGACCATTGATACACTGTATCTAAGTCACTTTGGAGCACATGTTGGTCGGCGTTCGCCTGGATCCTGCGCCAGATCTTGATATCGTCCGCAAACATTAGGAAGTTTGAAGCGATTCCCTGTGCAAGGTCATTAATAAACACCAGAAACAAACGTGGACCTAGAACCGAGCCTTGCGGCACACCACACTCGACTTGTATGGGGTCCGATAAAGAGCTCCGAACTCTGACCACTAATTGCCTTTGAAATAGCAAGTTGACGATCCAGCTTAAAAGTGGGTCGCCGATCCCGTAATGCTGCAGCTTGGATAGTAGTATCCGATGGTCTAGACGATCGAAAGCCTTGGAAAAATCCAGGTAGATCACATCAACACCTTCTCCAGCGTCGGCTGCCTCGGTCCAGCTACTGCGTGAAATGAGTAAATTAGTTGTACATGACCGCTGTCGACGGAAACCGTGTTGTTCAGGAGTGATGAGGTTGCAGTTTTCCAGATAGCGCACCAGTGCATCGGCAGCTATAGATTCCATGACCTTGGAGAGTATAGGAAGAAGGGTTACTGGGCGGTAGTTGGAGGGATCAGATCTGCTTCCACCTTTGTGAATCGGGCTTATTATTCCAAGCTTCCACATGGCGGGAACTTGGTTCCGGTCTAAGCAGTGCTGAAAAAACTGAGCTAAATGTCCTGCCAGTTGGTTTGCTGCTACTCCCAATGCCTCAGGACGAATGACGTCGACACCCGGCGAGCTGTGTTTGCGTAGAGAAGTCGGCTTTTGCAATACAGCCTCTGCGGTAAAATTGATGTGGGTTAGTCCTGGTGGTCAGAATACAAAGCTTGGTAGATCGCTTGGTGGCAAGACCCTTTGAAACGCGGGGGCGTATTGCATCTGCAGCGCGTTTGCAGCTTCCATAGACGTTCTTGTTGGGCCATCAGCCGTCTTGAGTGGAGGAAATCCTTGCCTCAAATTTCGTAGGCTATTAACGTGCTTGTACAGCAGTTTGTGGTTAGCACTGAAGGTTTTTGCGATGTTCTGCTCATAGGCGGCTTTGTCTTCTCTTAACAGTTGAGTGCAGTGGTTACGTTGGGCTACGTAGTTGTCCCACGTTGCTGGTGCTGGAGCTTCTCTGTACACTCGCCATGCTGCGTTGCGTACTGTCATCCATTTTCGGGTTCTGCTCCTAACGAAAGAAACGGATTTGCACTTATTGCAAGCTTGTATCTCTGAAGCCTGTGCAATCATCTGACTGAATGTGTTGACGAACTCGAGCCAGGTGACTTCCGGGGGTTCTTCTTCGTGGAAAGACCATGTTGTGTCGCTGACTAGCTGGGCGAGTCGGTCGTACCTTGTGATGGTTCGCACAGTATCATTGTTATCATTCCGATATTCTGCACAGCAGACGAAGTTGAAACTGATGACTGCGTGATCACTGCGACCCAACGGGCAGTCTAAAACCAACGCATCAATCATATGCTCCTCGTTGGTAAGCACAAGATCCAGCACAGATGGCCTGTTACCAGTTCTGAACCGAATGGGCAAAGTGATTTGGTTGTAAAGAGGAACAGTAGTTACTAGATCTTGTAAATCGGTTTTGAATTGTTCGCCGGTTGTGGCAGGGGCTTCTAAACAATGTACGTTGAAATCACCCATGATAAGAATGTGAGTGTACTTTTGTTGTAAACTGCACCTTAAAGCAGCCATTAGGTGGTAGTCGGTTTCGGGTGTTGAGTTAGGGGCGCGGTACATCAAGATAATAAGGCAAGCGTCCCTGCCTTTTAACTGCAACTGGCACCAAAGAGAATCTGAATCCTCCACGGCTTCGTACTGTAAGTCGTTTCGGTAGTACAGGATTACCCCTCCTCCTTTTTTGAGCCTGTCGTTCCTGATCAGCGACATGCCGGGTAGCGACACTTCAGCGTCCGTCATTCCCGTGTGCAACCATGTCTCGGTGATACCAATGACATCATACGAGCCGGAAGCTTGGCGATCTTTCAGTTCAGCCAGTTTGTTAGAAAGTCCCTGAGCATTTGTATACAAGCAGGCCAGTTTCTCGGTCTCTAGGAGCCCGCAGAGAGGTGAAGCTGTCAAGTGGGGGAGAATGCCGACAGATGGGAGGTCGGCAGTTATTCGTTTTTTTGATGGGTCAATGATACCTCGTTTGCAGCTTGATTCGGCCAAGGTGCGTCCCAGCCTTCGTTTAGACCTACTTCAGAGTCAATTAAAGCAGCAGTCAAGTTACACTTCTGTACATTCGTCAGGATGCTTTCTGCTTCAGTTGCTTTAATATTTGAGCTGTGCGAATTGTTTGCGACCTTTAACCGAATTTCGGAAGGAAGATGTTTCCGATTTCTCTGCCATCGATCCAAAACATCCTTTGCTTGTTGCTCTGACTGAATCACAAGTTTTAGGATTTTAGGGCCGCATCCTCTATAATTCGATGAGAGAGGTATCCTGGTGAGCGATAGTGCCACAACATCATCCAACGAAACTGTTTCACGAATGAACCGCCACTGTTCTATATCGTGCTTTCCGGTATCTTGAACATGGTTAGAAGGATGTTCTGGCACGCCATGTATGAAGATTGTATTTAGGCGGTCTTGCGTGCTGCGCCCCTCTTCGGTGGTTCGTTTTGATTGTCTCGCGCTGCAGTGGACATCAGGAAAGATACGTATCGCACAGGATTCGTGTTTTAGCGCGCTTGCGGAGAGCAAAACGTTTTCCACGTCGGTGGAGGATTCTAGAGTTACTCGAATAAGTCTGGGTTCACCATAGCGTGGCGAGTTCGGATGACGAGTAATTCGTAACAATTTTATTGGCTTGGCTTTGATACTCATCTGCATACACAATGAGTTCCATTGGTCTTGGTCGTCTGATAACTTATCCCGCAATGTGATGGCGGTAGATTCAGGGACATTTGAGCATACAACAGTCCGGGCACTGTTGTTGGATCCCTTTTTAATCGATCTACAAGGTATGGTACTCATTTGTCTTGACTTGTTGACAAGTGATTGTTTGCTGTTTTTCTCTCCATTTGCGTTAACGGTGTTTACAATGGAAGAGGACGCAACGGCGGCCTCTCGGTGGACCCTTGCAGCAATCTCTGCATATGTAACCGATGTTCTTGGAGGCTTAGTCTCGACAAGAGATATTTGAGCTACAGGTACCAAGGGTTGGTGTTTGGCTGCTTCATCCTTGTTAATGCTAGATGTCAGGTCTAGTGGAATTTGCTTAACCAGACGAAGAAACTGCGACTAATACTAGGTGGGACATA